CCCCCCGCCTCTCTGCCAGGTGTCACCCTGGGGTGACAGCGCTGTCACCAGCACGAGCAGGGCTCTCACCATGCTGGAAGGGACCCCTGGGGATCAGCCAGTCCCACTCCCCTGCCTGGGGCACCCGGGGCAGGTGGCACAGGAACGTGTCCAGGTGGGTTTGGAAGATCTCCAGAGAGGGAGACTCCACAGCCTCCCTGAGCAGCTGTTCCAGGGCTCTGCTACCTTCCATGGAAAGAAGCTTTTCCTCACATTGTGGTGGAACATTTTGTGTTTTAGTTTATGGCCATTTTTCCTCCTCCAAGAAGCACCACCAAGAAACGTCTGGACCCATCCTCCTGGCACCTGCCTTGGAGATACTTATATGCATTGATGAGATGCCCTCTCAGTCTTCTCCAGACCAAAGAGGCCCAACTCCCTTCAGACTCTTCTTGTAAGAGATGCTCCAGACCCCAAATCATCTTTGGGCCTGTGCTGGACCCTCTCCAGCAGCTCCTTGTCTCTCTTGTCCTAAGCAACCCAGGATGAGAACCAACATTGCAGATGTGCCTATCAGGGTCGAGTAGAGGGAGAGGTCACACTCTTCCTAAAGCACCCCAGGATCCCACTGTCCCCTAGGGCACATTACCAGCTCATGGTCAACTTGTCATCCACTAAGACTCCCAGGCCCCGTTTTTGCTCAAATGGGACTTTCCTCCCCACTCACCATGATCCTCATTCAAGCACAGATGACTTTCCATCTGCTCTGGCCTTCAGCCCATGCTGGCGTTGCAAGAACTGCATTAGACCCAGAGTAACTTCACCCTTCAGGTGCCTGTGGGCATCTGTATCTCCCTTATTCTCATTTGGGTTTTCTTTGGATCGCATTTTGCAAAGTTTTACCATCTGTGTTTATTTGTGACTCTTTCTTCAAAAGTCAACTTTTAACCATCAACAAATATAAATAATCATCTTTATTTGCTTCTAGAGAATATTTATAAGTTATGTGCATAAACTGCCCAGTATTTAGAAACATAAGCTGCCTGAGGAACAGTTATGTTCTCCCCTTGTGTATCTACTGTATCTTTTACATGTGTGACCAGGAACAGGACTCAGAAACAGCTGGAGCTGTGTCAGGGAGGGTTAGGCTGGATATCAGGAAAAGGTTCTTCCCCCAGAGGGTGCTGGCACTGCCCAGGCTCCCCAGGGAACTGGCCCAGCCCCAAGGCTGCCAGAGCTCCAGGAGCCTTTGGACAATTCTCTCAGGGATGCACAGGGTGCGATTGTTGAGGTGTCTGTGCAGAGGGGTTGGACTCAATGATCCTTGTCAGTCCCTTCCAAATAATGAGATTCTATAATTCTATCATCTATTATTAGGTGTCTTGTTAAATGAACTGCCTAAAACAAGCTGATGGAAGTCCAAAGTACACTCAAATCAATAAAACTGCACTGGCACGACCAAAAACATGAAGTCTGGGGATTGTGACCATCAGGCCCCGCAGAACCAGAGACAAGTGACAGGACAGACTCAGGGCACGGCTGAGCAGGGCTTGGGAGAACCTTGGGATGCCACAGATGCCACACAGTTCACAACTGGAGCAGGGGTGTGATAGCAGCAGCACAGGAGTTTTAGGTGTCACCTAAGCAAGGAAAAAAGCTGTGGATTATTAAATGACTGTACACGTACCAACGTTGCCTCAGACGGCCAAATTGCTGGGTAGTGGAAACCTTTAATTACAGAGGCACAGATGAGTGACACAAAGATTAGGGAGATTGCCAATCCATATGCAGATGTGGTACAGAATGTTTCTTCTCTGCTGCCTAAAGAAAAATAGAGATACGATTTACATTTAGGAGATACGATAAGCAGCAAAGAAGAGTAAATAGATCAGAAGATGGAAAAGTAATGGGGATACTGGGAAACACCAGTAACAAGATTACTTTCTGGTGGAAGCTCAACTACTTGTGTTTTAATGATTATTGACCCAACTCAACAGAAAGAAACAGCATTTTCAACACCACAGAAGGACAGGAAACCTTCACTGCTTCACCGAATGGGGTAAATTATAGGTAGATCAGTGCAAATGTGGAACAAAAGGAAGCCTCTCTGAGCACTGTGTGTAGTTACAGACCCTGCATTCCCAACACACGAGCTGGGAATTTCCTGGATGCAAAAGCCAAAATAACTCTTCCTGATTTATAGACCAGCCAGCAAAGCTGAGCAGAGTACCTGAGCAGGGTATTGGAGCTGTAATTTTCAGTCTCACACAACAGGAACTGTAATTTAACTCCAGCCATGCTACACAGGCAGATTTCATCCCAATTAACCTAAATTCCAGGCTGTCAGGACACCACGTTGTTGTCTGTACACACAAATTACTGATTTTTACTTGCTACACTTTTCCAAAGGTGGCCGTTAATTCCTTTGTGCTGTTTTGACCACTGGCTGACCCCACATGGTGCACACCAGGTAAAGTCAACCAAGACAAATCAGAGCTAATGATACACTGCCTGAATTTCTCCATTTTCCAATTGCAATACAATTTCTGGCATGTGTTCTTAGCTTAGCATTCACCCATAAAATGTCTATTTTATGGCTTATGAAAGACTATGCAGCTGCTTAGTTTTTGTATTGAAAATATCTTGATGGGCGCCCTATTAAAAAAAATTATCTCAACCAATATTTATATTTCCCATGGTTGTTTCCATCACTGGGATCAGTTATATGAAAAATCCAATTCTTTTCATACCCAGTACCCAGTGGTTAATGTACCGTAAGATTTATTTTATTATTTTCAGTGTGATTATTTTCTTTAGCAATGACAATCTACAAGGCCATTTTAAAGTCGAAAAATCTTTATACTCTTCAAGGGTCCTTCTACCAAGGTGCCCATGGTGATCACGGCCCTGGACCGCCCCAGCC